AGTGCGGTCGCGTGGAAAGCTATAACGGTGCGAGCTCGTAAACATTTCGGTTAAAAGGCACTAAGCTCTTCGTCAGATGGCGAGGCGCGTTTAATTAAATTTCGATGTCGCGTCTTATCACAATGGGATTGAAGATGGAATGAATCTACTCTGAATGAATCCTGACTCTCCAACAGAGAGAGACCTAATCCACGTCGCTTTCACTGTCCCGTCGTTTTAGGATCCTCTATCACTCTTTCTCTCTCTCTTTCTCTCTCTATCTCCACCCATATTACACAGAAATGATAAAAATATAACCGACACCATTAAATCCAAGAAGCGGTCATTAAATTTGTGAAATTTTGAAATATCACGCTTTAAGTCCGCGCGGACGCTCTTTTAAAATTGAATTTTCGTGTAATTTTTATCGCACGATATATAAGTAATTTGGTAATATTATTAATTTCGCCGTAGTTTTATCGCAAAACACAGAATTCAACTTCTCTCGACATTTCCAATTTAACATTGCGGTTTTTTTCCTAAGCCTGAAAAAAATAGACGCGAGAGACTCAATTCGAGTTTAGGAAGTTCGTGGTTCAATCTCGGCGATGCAATCGTGATTTGCGACCGGGCAATGGTTTGTTTCAGCGCCGACTGTTATCTAAGCCAAGCAGCTCGTTCGTTTCTCTTAATTTGAGTCCGGCGGACAGACAGACATCGCGCACTTCGAGATCACTCGGTCCGATCACTCGGATAACGCGGCAGCGTGATCTGGCCGTTTCACCGTTAACGGATAAGGGGAACAGCGTTTCCGAAAGCAGTATACCTAATTGCCCACGAAGGTGGGGGGGGGGAGGATGTGGCCTACCGGGGACAGGTGAATGTTTGACATTCCTGTCGCAGCCTCTGTTGATGAAGCTTCTGGCTGCCGGACAACAGGGGCTAAAGTATAGGATAACTATGTAATTGGATGACCAGTTATCTAATTTAAAAGAAGGTTAATTTAGTTCGAAGAAACGGCATAACGGTGTAAAATAGACAATAGATAACATTTTTATATTGCGATAAATGTATTTCTAATTTCTATTTTATTTTAATATCAATATATTTCCTTTTTTTTTACTTTTATTTTCTTTGTCGCGAAAAACCGTATTGCAAGAATAAACGCATTCTAGCACGCGCGTGCGTTTCTACAACGTTCCTTGAGATCATCAAAACGATACACCGGAACGCCGCTCTTTTAACAGAGCGTTGCATCTGAATGCTGTCGCTGACGTCGTTTAAACGGATTAGATGGGATCTACGGCGATTGAATTTCCTCGAACAAGCTGGCATGTGGATCATCCGCGGTCGACGAACATAAAGATCGTGTCGAGGCGGCGGATTCGCTTGTTTGCACACACCGTCGACATTCTCTACCGTTCTGACTAGGGCCGGTTAATGTCATCTTGAATTCCGAAACAAAATTCGAGATATGTCTATATTAGGCAACCGACCGTAATGTCCAAATGTTGTTTGGAAGGATTACAAGTCGGGCCTTTGAATCTTCTTGAAGCTCGATATAAACATCGAATAAAAATTATTTCACGCGTGTATTTCGAATAACCAATGATTTTTATATACATATTACAAAGTAGTAATCGCACGCGACGCAGTAAGTTAGTCTTCGTATCGCCGCTGCTGCCGATCCGAAATATTTCGCCCATTCTCGCTGAGTTGACGTTACGTTTGATACATTAAACATGAAACATTGTTTTGAGAGCGTTAAGCCGGGGGCGCATAAGAGAGTGCATGCACTTCGGTGAACTGACGTTTTTATGTATCCCGTGCGTGAGCTACCACGAAGAGGCAGTGACTACGGTTCTCGGATCGGTGGATCGGGGCTAACTTTCCGTTGAATGCCCGTCTGATGTGTGGGCCCGCATCATGTATACGCAGCTATAATCACACCGACTAAATTTCCGAGTACATTGACGAGTATTATTTCAGCGAATTCCGCGACGTATTTGAGCAAATTTTTCGGTGATGCTGTAACGTATAACGCTCTCGTATAAGCCGTTTCAAAGTTTACGCGTTGTATTTCGCTACACCTTGCTGGAGCGATCTATTACTAACGATAATCGTTCCTTAGAAGAATTCGGAATGTATCTTCTTTGCGACATCTCAATATTTATAGCGTAGTTGGAAGTAAGACGCGATATATGATCATGATATATTAACGATTAGCCAAATAGTTAAGTCGCTTAACGCAGGAAATGCTGCAGACTATCTTTGCGCAAGCATCGTGAATTTGCATTACGTGTAATTTATGTAAATGGAAGCTAAAATCGAGAAAAAAATGTGAAAGTAATTAGCCCATCTTCGACTTAATTATCGTCAAGCGGTTCGATTTATGATGCGGTGTAAAAGAGAGAAGCCAGCTTTCTACGTCTGCGTGAAAAATTTAACGGTCGGCGGCATTAATTGAATTAAGTGAAACGTGGTGTGTGTACACGCATATTTCACTTTTTATTTTATGTAAATAGATAAGCATATCTAAAACGATCGCCACGTGTGCAGACACGATCTTAAAGGATTGCTACAAATTACGATATTATAAAAAATAAAACTTATCGGGACATCGTAATATAACGTATCTTTTTATCAATATTTTAGTTTATTGGTGACAAAAAAATACGCGGCACCGAAAAATTCTTCAGATTCGTGCGCAAGCAGCTTTTACCCGCCGACGAGGCTGTAATTTTTTCATTTTAAGGTAAAGGTTATCCGAGAATCTCGGCGTCTCGATAGATAATAATAGATTGTTGTCAGACATACGGGGACTCGCTATGAACTATCTGTTAACGTTCAGCAACATTCTTCGCCGGGCGACGAGCCCCGCGGTGAACGTCAACGTGAGAGACCCTCGATCACGTTAAAGTCAAGAAACGACGCACGCTAACGTTGGTCTTCCCTCCTTCGAGCGCGACAACGAGCTGCGTCTTGACATGATATTACGCGGCCGTACATTTTGTACATTCGTTCCGTTCCATTCTCACGAGTGGACGCGTGGCGATCGACGGGTGACATTACGAAAGAAAAGCACGCATCGGAGCTCGCGTGAAATTTCGGATTAAAATTTGAAGTGGTCCTCGCGAGCATAAAAAGAAAAAACATGTTTTCTACGTTCAAGTTCATCGATCTGTTTTCTAATCGCTAATTAAATTCCCAATTCCTAAATAAACAAAAACAATCTCTAAAATAATTGGCTCTCTAAAATATTTAGCCGTATTAAAATTACTATCAAAATTATTTATGATGATTTTTATAAACAACGTTAGTGAATGAATGTTAGTGAAATCGAGTACAACACTTCTATCGACGAATCATTTTTTGTCCTCATTACGTTTTTACGATTGGGATACGGCCGATGATAAACTAATGCGGGAGCAGTAAAGTTTATGGCGACGGCCACCGCCACGGTGGAATTATGTAAACTTATATGGTCGTATGAAGTATCGACACACACAGCATACCTACGACTCCCACGGGAGCCCGGGATTTGGTAGCCGGCTTTCACGGCTCATCCTTCGCACCTTTGTGTCCCTTTCGGAAGGCAGCCCCTCGTGGAAATCCACTTTGTCAAGACGCGAGTAATTTCGAGCCCGGGGAGAGAAGAGATGCCTTTTTACAATCTGATACGTTATGGGGTACCGTGTACCATTAATTACCGGGACAAACAAACGCCGGCAAATTATACGTTCACGCGGCCACTTCACGGCCTCTTATCCGGCATCTTATTGTAAACCACGGGGTTTACAACGCCGGTGGAAGAGGTGGATATCGAGGCTTTACGCGTCCGCGGCCCTTTTTCGCTCCTTTTTCTCGATCCCCTCGCTAGATAGCTATTCGCGCTTCATAAACACATCGTCCGATAGAAGACGGGTTTTAGCATAGACGCGTAAACGCGCGTGGTGCAATATAAAAAAAGTGCGGAAAAAGAATTTCTATTTGATAACAGGGATTACATGTCATATGTTATACATATATCACGATTACGGAGCTAGCCATTCATTATTAAGTTCTGTAAGCAGACATTTATCCGAGATAGTGCTGCAATTACACGGCGTTATAAAATTATCTCAATGACAATCTTAATGGCATAATTAAAACGTTATTATAAACACACAACTTCACCGGTTTATATGTAGTACCCCTCGGCAGGGGTTAAACATTTCCTTTGAATCATCCGGTTAATCGCGAGCCGACACCCACTCAGACGTCATTTCGCGCGATACTCTGAATCATCGGGACGCTATTCGCACATCCCGATTCGCATGTTCTCAAATGTAAATGTTCCATGATTTTTCATGAACGCCATGTGTCGAAAACACGATACCGCGTCATCGTAGTCGTCAGAGAATCCTGTTTTAAGCTTCAAGTCTAAACACAGATCTCCATAATAAAATACGCGTGTAATTTTTTAATGGAATAAATTTGCTGGAAATTCTTAAATTTTTCATTCTTCAATTTTGTAACTTTGATGATGTAAGAAGGGAATAACACCGCTTTATAGAAATTTTATATAAATCAGTCTTCGGCATCTGTAGCCGAAGGGACATCCGGTTACCCGGTTCAGTATACACCTTGTGTATTCATCTTAGAGTATCGTTGCGTACGGCGCCGAAGAGAATCGTACGTACCGAACGATCTCGTCGTCGAGAACGGCACCCGGCGAGAGGCTATCGGCCATCTCGGTGCGCGAGACTGAGCGGTTACAGTTTCGTCCTAGGGGATACAGATGAGTAGGCGCGATGGATACACTGTACAGAACACGCCCGACACGCTAAACGCGTCCGCCCCGAACTCGTGTAAACAATTATTCATCCGGAGGTCCGACTCGCCTCTCCGCCTCTCGATTGGTTCGAATCCGCCAAAAGCGGAGGAGGCTTGAGTCATTCCGCGTTGGAGTCTAATTTCCGGTCTCCCGCCCGAATGAGGAAGTGTTTTGAGAAGCATACTCACACTTCCTCTGGATAACTATAAATATTTAACACTTACCTTTATTGGACGTCCGAAGAGAGGCAGCTTGTGGCGTCAAACATTCCTGAAACAACAACAAAAAGACATCTAGTTAATTAACATGCGATGAAAAAAGACGACATAATCTACTTCGCGCTTGACGGGGGGAAAAAAAGCGATCGCCGAAAAGGCCGACAGGTGACGAGATATCCGCCT